GCAGCTAATAGTCCACTTTTGGGTATTTGTGGTTAAAAAAAAATCCCAAGCAGTGGTAAATCTAATAAACTCTATTTGGGCATGGGAATGCATTTATATGTAATTCTTTCTTGGTAGGAGACTTACCTTTCTAATCATGCTCCCTTTAGGCTATTATTAAAATCAGTCTGCATTTCCCAAGCAGATGCCACTGACAGCCAGAGGATGGCAGTCTGCAGTGACAGGGTAAGGTCAACCTGGAATTAAGTGCTAGCAAATAGATTGACAATCAGTCGCGGAGTATGTGTATGGAGCTGTGTGCTCACAAATGTGAACACGCAAAAGTGCTCCGCTAGCAACAGCACACAAGAAACAAGGATTAAGGATAACAGCAAAGGGCAAAGTTCCCACAAGTGGGTTTTTCAGAGATCTGAGGACAAAATAATGTAATCCTTCGTGGGTCACAATGTATATACCCCCTTTGGGGTCATCTATTCTCAGCTGTTATCTGCAAGGACTGATATATGGAGATCTTATTTGTTCTATTGCTCTTGTGGATTTTTTCTTTAAAATTCTTTCTTTAATTAAGAAATACCAGCCGGGCAGTCGTGGCGCATGCCTTTAACAGCAGCACTAGGCAGGCAGAGGCAGACGAATCTCTGTGAGTTCGAGGCCAACCTGGTCTACAAGAGCTAGTTCCAGGACAGGCACCAAAGCTACAGAGAAACCCTGTCTCAAAACACACACACACACACACACACACACACACACACACACACGTATGTGTATATATATATATGCATATATATGTATATATACACATGAATACACACACACACACACACCCCAAAAACCAGGGCTAGGTATGTAGTTCAGTTGCAGAACACTAGCTTAACATACACAAAGTTCTTGACTCCCTTCCCATCACTAGAAGACAGGACTGAGAGAGAGGGTGCAGGAGAGACACTAGTAATCAGAAATAGTGCTATGTATGCAGCTGGACTCTCATCTACTTGTGAGGCTGAGGCAGGAGGATCACGTGACCCCAGGTGCTGAGGGTCATCCTGAACAAAACAGCAAGGTCCAATTTTAAGAAGAGGAAATGTCAAAAGTGCATTGCACTGTGTATTTTAATTCTGCACATGGACATTCCTGCTGAAAAAAAAACGATTTCTGTAGGTTTTACTGATAAATGGTGAACTCTGAAATCTCTTCAAACACTGCTCCATAAACATTTAATTTTACACAAAAGCTGAGTTGGTGTATAACAATTCTTTAGCCATGAATAGGTTAGCTTCATGCCACAACCAGAATTTATTTATATATTTCCCCTAGTACTTTCAATCCTGTCTTGTGTGTTGGCTGTCAATGCTAAAGGCATGAGAAGCTTGAGAAAGCAGTAAAAATAAAAAGAGTACTTTATATTAGGAAATCACAAGTCCATTCCAGACCAAAACAGCTCCTTTGGCTCATCACCAAGCATTCCCAATAGCTTTGCTCAGTGTTGTCTCAAAGGGTAATAGCAAGACTGAATCTTAACACAAGTGGAACACACTTGAGTCCTAGCCCCAGAATCCCATGTGGCTCATTTTCCTAGTCAACCTTGGCTTCTTGAAAACCAACTGAGATGATTCTGAGCCATGCACATTAAAAATCCCAGTATGGGGCTGGAGAGATGGCTCAGAGGTTAAGAGCACTGGCTGCTCTTCCAGAGGTCCTGAGTTCAATTCCCAGCAATCACATGGTGGCTCACAACCATCTGTACTAAGATCTGGCGCCCTCCTCTGGCGTGCGGGCATACATGGAGGCAGAATGTTGTAGACATAAGAAATAAATAATTCTTAAAAAAAAATCCCAGTATGGGCATCAGTGAGAAGTCATGTCCCTAGTGTAGAGTCCTAAACTTATAGACTCGTTCTCATGAGAATCCTCCACTATCAATATATTTAAAATAAGTAGGAGAATAACAGGTGACATTCTGATGTTGTGCTCCCAGCAAATGCTCAACCGTATTCGGTTTCCGGCCTGCTAGAGATGGACCCCACTGCTGCCTCACATATGCGAGGCAAACATCTCATCAGCTGAGACATGTCCTCAGACTCCTTCAACTAGTTTCCTAAGCACAAAGGGGGTTTTAGAAAAACTAAGTTAAAAATAGAGAAACTCAATTTATGAGGTTATCAACACAATGCAGTTACATTTTTTCTGCTAAGTTTTGAGTCATATTTTTTTGAGTATTTTTCTCGTTTCCAAGAGTAAGATGTATTTTTGTATTTGCCAAACAATGATCTCTCTCTCTCTCTGTCATTCCTCTAGTAGATATTGTTATTAACTTATTAAACCATTTCACTATGTAAATAAATACTTAACACCAAATCAGAAGTGGAATTGTGTGCGGCACCATCTAAACTTATTTTATTATTGGTTCTATTATCACAACTGACAGTTTATATTTCATGTAAACTTTTAGATTTCTAAATATCTAATTCAAGTTTAAAGGTGCAGATCAATTCTTTGCAGTTTTTACTTTTATCCAAATACTAGGCACTCACTCTTTTACAAGATAGCATACAATCAAAGTTATAAAACTTTTGTCCTTTTTTGCCTTGCAATCCCTTTCTGACATTCTCTACCATGTTTTTTTTTTCTTAAATGCAGTCAGTGAAGTGCTTGAAAGAAAATAACTCTATAAATAACTTGGTAACCCTCAACCCTTTCACATGCTGCTAACTTTGGAGAAGTCAGGTCCTCTCCTAAAGGCTTTTATTCTGCCTCATACTCCAAACTTGAAAGGTTTTCAAATACTCAACTTGCCTTTCTTCTCATTTTTTGCGGGGGTGATGGTGGTGAGGGTAAGCCTGCCAGCTGGTGAGAAGCCAAAAGTTGTCCAGTCAGACCTGAATGGAAAAATCTATGATTTGTTTATTTCATAGTTCAAGTTCAAAAGCAAGAGACAATTTAAATAATAAAAGGTTAACAGAGGAAAAATGTAAAGAAAGGAACAAATCAGTAAGCGTCCAGAGAAACTTTCACGAATATTTAATTTGGAAAATGTTATTGGTTTGGAGGACTTGACTGAAAGAAAACAGCTGGGCAGAGTTCAAGGTTTTAAATTAAAAACAATGTAACAAGGTCTACAGGGATAAATCTTTGAGCCATATTTCGGAGACCAGATTCACTTCTACCAAGTAAAAGTAATAGCAGTCTAAGCTAAAGAGGAAATTCCTCACAACTGAGGTGCTTACTATCAGCACAGTTTCCAAGTTCTCAGAAGGCAGCCCAGCGATTTACAGTCTACTTTTCCTCATATAAGTGGAGCTAGCTATATTTCCTGTGATTTGCTTTAAAAAAAAAAACACTTATCCACACCAGCCAGAATATGCCTATTTTATTAACATCATGCTTTAATAAATAACTGGCTACTTATACTAAAATTAAGCCTCTGTTTACAACAGCCCCCAATATTTCATTTTGACCATTCTGAAGAATTTGGTGTAAAAAGTTGAATGAAATGTAGACCCTGAGCTATCAAGTAATTATGTTTCAATATAAAAATAGAGCTTTCCTCTTATAACTGAAGACTGAACAATAACACAAAACAACCTGTCTATGGGCTTCTGGCATCTTCATGATTTAGAGAGCAGAAGAACCTCGCACAGTGGTAGTGTTTCTGAAGACTTTTGAGAAGTCATTTTGAAATGATCTGCTACTTTCTCCAGGTTTTCTGACTGGTCATTTGGATACAAGAAAAGGGCTTCCAAGGGGGCAAGGCAGTGGACAAGTCTTTGGCCTGGGACAAGTTAGGGCTTTTGCTAGTGCACCTATGTGGCTAAGGGCCACCTAGGAGATGAGGTCTTCTTAGCTCTATATACTCCCATTCCTCCCACAAAAAGATAGCATATAAAAATCTGGACACCCAGCTCTCCTCTCAGTGGGCTCCTTGGGCAGGATCGATAGCAGATGGCTGCAAATCAGTCTGGGTCCTTCATTGAACTGATCAAAAGTGAGTGGCGAGAAAGAAAAAATAATCCAATTAGATCACCTTACACTCTTTTCAAAACTGGAGTTTACAAAATGCAAACATATACACACAGACAAAAACTCTGCTTGAGTGTTGACAGCTATTCCCTGAGCCCAGGCTGTACCCCAGTTCTGGCTAGCTGCCAGACAGCTCCCTTTTATGGCACTCTTCCCAGAGTGGTCAGTGGGTCAGGAATCTGGATCCCTCCAACACGGGGTGGGGACAAATGAGATTGTTGGTCACCTGCTACTGCCATTGGGATAAAGGACTAGAGTGTCAGCATGGATACAGAAACTGGTACACGGTGGCTCCCTAAGCTGCCTGGTTTTTAATATATACCCCCCAAGTCCAAGAGTGTACATGGGATAAGTGGGGCACCCTGAGTGCCTTTCATCTTTCAAGGGCACCTACATCAATAATCTTTATTTTCCAGGATCGGGTACACTTTGGGTATGGGTGGATTCAAGAATTCAAGATTCCACTCAATCCAAATGGGTCTCTTCTAGCACCCAGTTCTGAGTGGGGTCTAACGGTCTTCTTAGACTGGTGTTTGAATGCAGTTTGACCAGTGGCTCGGAAGCCTGTTTGTGGCTCCACATTCTGTCCTAATTGAATACAAACAGAAAAAAGAAGCCTCCAAGTTGCCTCCACTTCTCCAGACAAGGCAGTTCAAATAAGAGGGATAAATGGAAATTTTATGGCTTGTTGGGCTTTTTCCTTTAATAAGATAACATGATAAATAAACCTGCTTCTGTACAGCTATTTAATATTTCAGAAATACGTACATGTTACATGCCAAGAAAGGAGCCTGGTTTTCTTGGGAGAAACAAGGTGAGATCATAATTCAAAAAGAAAAGCCCCACAAATAAAATGAGCGAAAAAAAAAACAAAACAAAAGAAGAGTGCTAAATCACAAATGCACAACTAACTACAGGTTCTGTACCTACACTGTTAGCCACATTGAACACGATTTCTGAAGGAGCAGAAACTGAATGAGAAAACAAAGTCAACACTGCTCAAACCAGTGGCCACATCGTAAAAACTGTACAGTTGCTGTCTGTCCATTCATTTAAAAAGCAAAGTCACTAGGATGGTAAAAAAAAAAAAAAGTGAGAACTGGTGCCTTTGAACTCTCTGATGATGAACACTTTTACTCAGGGTTTGACAATTATCTCCACTCTCTCTGCACAGCGAAGAACAAGAGGCAGAGGATAGTGAGGAGGTAGGGCTTTGCCTCAGCATGGGCGCTGGCACTGTCGGCCTTCTCATTGGCACTCTTCCCAGAATGGTCAGTGGCATTGTACTCAAACTCGGAAGGACACTGCTGATATTCGCAGCCACTTCCGCTTCCTTCTCCACTACTTTCATCACCTACATTGAAAAGAGAACAGAGATTTCAGGACATGTCATCTCATCAGGTCAGAAAAGAACAAACCCCACACGTCAAAATCACCAACACTTACTGATATCAAAGAAGTCCACGTCATTGCCGTTGTAAGCATTCTTCATCTTATTGGTCATAACCCGAAGGGCCATGATTTGACGAAGGATCAGCATGTCTTGTTTGGTGGTGTCGACCTGGACTTCAGGGTTGTTGCCCTGGTTGGCCAATCCATTTCCGGTCACTGCAAACAGGTACCTGAAAGTACAACATAATTCCATTGAAATGAGCAGTAAGTAAATGTAGGCGAGCAAAGATTTGCTGAATGTTAGCATCTCCACCCAGCATAGTGGAGTAGATGTTCTTCCATTTGCAATCAACTCGAATTGTTCCTTCTCCCTCTAGGGACTGTGTAGTTTCTGTACCTCTTTTGGCGCGATTGTTCTGGCAAAGAAAAACACCCTCTGAATGGGTGCTTATCTTAGTCACAGAGTATGCCAGGGTGGGATACATGGACTCATCAAAGAGAATGTGACCTTTTGAGAAGTGGTGCTTTGAGAAGGCCAGGACCCTGAGCCAAGGGCCACGGGCGCTGAATGTTTTTAACAGTCCTTAGCACCAGGGTAGAACTACTGCCAAGTCCAGTCCTTTGTAAGTATCTGGGTGCCTTTTAGAACACCCAAATGCCAAAGCCCATGCCTAAGGGCACCTAGAAACTTTCTGTAGCATCACTAGCCACAGTGAACTGCTTCACTTAGATCACAGTGAAGAAGCTGCTCTTTCCCTCGGGGGAGGCTGACCTGCTTTTGCCCTTGCCATTCCAGCAGTCATCCTCATTGCCATTCCCTGCCGCCATCCTCTCGTCATTGCAAACAGTGGTTGGGAGAGAGGACCAGAACTTCTTAGCCTGTTTCAGTTTTTCCTTGACATCAGTAACCTAAGGAAGAAAATAAAAAACGGCTCACCTATGTAGAAATGCAAAACTACAATGTATGATCCCAGCACTTGGTAGGCTGCAAATAACACTCATCCTTGCCTCTGTACACGACCCTGAAGTAAACTCATTGGCACTCTCTCTCTCTCTCTCTCTCTCTCTCTCTCTCTCACACACACACACACACACACACACAACACACACACACATCATATATATATATATATATATATATATATATATATACACACTTTCTCAACAAACAGTGGGGCTGGAGAGATGGCTCAGTAGTTACGAGCATTTGCTCTTCTTGGAGAGGACAAGGGTTTATTCTTAGTACACACTTGCTAGCTCACAGCTATCTATAACTTCAGTTTCAGACGATCTGATGCCCTTTTATGAACTGTACACTTAACCAGGAATCCAAGTGGTACACACACACACACACACACACACACACAGATGCAAGCAAAACGTCCATACACATGAAATAAAACAGCAATAAAAAAACGCAAGAAAATAATGTTGACCTAAATCCATCTTAAAATCTAAGCCAACCCCAACCTATTTATGGATGTGCCTTTTGATCATTTCTAGATTATATGCAACTCAGTGTTTCAAGTTCAGACCGAAGGAAAATACCAAGAAATAAACAGTCACTCAGAGGAATTAATAGTTCAAGTGTAAACTCTAAAGGAGATGCCTGGATCCTGGATCTACTGTCTACTTTACTTCCTCCTGTAACTGGCATCCCAGCCTGTAACACAGTCTTTCCACCCCAGGCTTTCCTGGTCTGAATCAAGCATCCAGCAAACAGGAAAACTTCACTGGCTTTATTCTTCTTTTCACATCAGTGTCCTGTCGGGCTTCCTGCTCTAGGTTCCCTCCGACTACAGCACTAGTACTCCCAGACTGCCATAGGGCATTGCCGTGTATCACCTGTTTATAGCCTAAATTTTTCTCCTATCCTACCATCATCAACTTCGACCTTACATAAACCTAGACCATGTCACTCTGCCCTCAACCCACTTCTCTTTAAAATCCTATATACTAAAAGGCACCATGGAAGGTTTTTTTTTAAAAAAAAAAATAAATTAAAACCCAACGAAGACAAACTGAACCAAAGTTGTTTTACTGCATGAAGAAATTTCCTTTGAAAAGGTGATTAGGAAAGAATAGCCAATGGCAAAGACGTCCTTTCTACCTGAACAAGGACTTTGGCAGATACTTCTTTGCTTCCTTAAATACAAGGTGGATCGTATTTTGGGTATGGTGCTGATAATGTGAAGATGTTTGCAATTGGCATTATTTAGCTTATTGGTCAAAAAAATAAATCCACGCACAGAGTTAACAAGTTAAATGTTATCACATGAAATCAACTCAGGATTTTAGGTTGTTTACTTGTGAGATTACTTTGGCTCTTACTGAAGAGCTTAGACTGGCACTTCGCTCCCTTTGTTGAGGTCTCTGGAATCCGAGGCCCTTTCTTACTGCCCTGAGCTTCCCCTTGTGTATAACCTAGCGGCGGGTATAACAGATGCTCAGTAAATTCACAATGGCACTGGAGAGAAGTCTGGAGATGCAACTTGTCACAACACACTTCCTCAACTATATAGGACCTTTCCGAGACAGAAAACGAGGCACATTTACTGCCGTCCACATACAAGAAGATTAAAAAGTTAAACACCTAAAAGACTCACACATATATGCCTTCCAACTAAAAGTTCATTTTTTGAGCAAATGTTTGGAGTTTGTTACCATTGAACACACCCATTCCAGCTAAAGTACTCACCAGTCGGTCCAAACTAGTGCCAGCGGCTGTGGTTGGACGTTGTTCTGGATGATAAGGCCTGAATCGAGCGCTGAAGGCACTTTCAGAGATGGACCGAGAAATTCGGCCAGCCGGGAGAGACTTCGGAGACCCACAGCCTTGGAAAACCTACAGGGAAAGTGAGTTCGTATTAGGGATGTTAGAGGACAAGGCAGAGGGCGTGTCTCGCTGTCCTGCCCAGCGTCTCGCCTGCAATACTTTCTGAGACACTTGGACGCTGTTATCCTGCATGTTCATGATAGCATCCGAAATCTTCACATCGATAGGATCCATAACCGACTCAATGTTGAAGGGGCCCTCCAGCCTCTCTGCCACCATCAGCATAGCGTCTAGTAAGCGTTGGAGAAAGACAATACAGCATAGACAGAAAAATCATTAGTTCAGATTTGACCATCAGCCCGATCGTTTTATTGCCTTTGCTTTTTTTTCAGAGGGAAGAGGGGAAGGGAGAGGGGGAAGGAGATAATACACAGTTTTTTCCCCAGTTTTTTCTTATTTTCTAGCTATTTCTATAATTTCAAATTGTATCTACACATTACGTCTCAGCAGCTCGCTAAAGTATGAAGGAGCCAGATGAATGCTTTGTTCCGGGGCATGGAAATTCAGTCGGGAATCGCCCATCTTTTGGCTAACTCACTCTTCCGTATGTCAGCCAGCACCCAGCTGACAGTCTGGCTAGGGACAGAGGAACATGCCTGTTCTCCCAGACACTTCCCTGGCATCTTTTCCTTTCAGGTTCCATTGACGAGAGTTGAAATCGTAAATCAGTTACAATCCTGGCATACCGATTCTTTTCTTTCACTTCCTTTAAAGAGACATTGCAGATCCTCGCTTGCACAGCTGCATAATAGAAATGAAAGCGTTCTGGGAATCCGAATGTCTTCAAACGATGAAACTTTGAGGCGTGCCACTTTGGGGTTAGGATAACCCCATTTTCAAACGCGAGGGCCTCAGCTGATTTAGTAGTGATATGCATGTTTGGGGGGATACCAGTGAAATCACGAGACAAAACACAATGCCAAACATTGTCCATTTCACCGATATCTGGAAGTCACTTGTAGACTTTTGAGGACCCTGTCATTTCCTAGCAAGTGCTGGATTCCTTAAAGAAAGCAAGCTGTTATTTGTTTCCCATATATGCTTTTGGGGATTATGATTTGGTATCTTTGCCTGATAACTTGTACAAAATTAGAAGAACTGGGCTGGAGAGATGGCTCAGCGGTTAAGAGCATTGCCTGCTCTTCCAAAGGTCCTGAGTTCAATTCCCAGCAACCACATGGTGGCTCACAACCATCTGTAATGAGGTCTGGTGCCCTCTCCTGGCTTGCAGGGATACACACAGACAGAACATTGTATACATAATAAATAAACAAAGTTAATATTTCTAAAAAAAAAAACAAAATTAGAAGAACTTTTGGAAATGAACCCCCCCCCCCAAACGGGGGAAAAGGGGATGGGTTAATTATTGACACATAGTAAACTTTTGAAAAACTATTTTTTTATTGCTGTGTGTATGCGTATGTGCATTTGTGTCTGTCTGTCTGTGGGCATGTGCTAGTGGGAGTGGGTGCCTGTGAAGCCACAGTTGGTTGATAGCCTGGAGTTGGTGTTACAAGTGATCGTGAGGCACCTGCCCTGGGTGATGGGAACCAACTGGAGGCATGATGCCAGCTCATAGCAGCTGGGTTTCAATAGTTAACCTTTAAATGGTGTTTTCTCCTTTACACTCCATAAGTTAGATCCCCACTGTCTACTCCTATAGGTACTTCAATGTCAAGAACGAAAAAAGAGTGTCCCTTTTCAGAAGGCCGGGTGTCTCTTTCAGCTGCTACCCCAGCTGAGCTGCTACCTAAGCTTTCTAGTGGGAAAAGGCTTTAAGCATCATCCTAAAAAGGAAATCAAAGTTGGTTATCAACTTTTCACTTTCAATCTAGAACAAGTACTACACACCACTTTAGAAAGTGTGAAGCTGCCAACCATGAACAGATTCCTGTGCAGTGTGATGCTTTAGAGTAATCGCAGTAAGTAAGCACCAATAAAATGATGTCTCTAACCTTTAAGTAAAGGCTGAAAGCATGAATATGCCATTGTACTAGAGGAGAAAGGGGGGAAAATGCTTTTGATGTGCTAGAGAAAGGCGACTTTTGCAAACAAGCGGAGCACAGTGTAAATGTGTTTGTCACTGTCAAAGCAGAGGGACCACCATATACAGAAGGCACATTCTTTCACAAGCCAAGAAATCGTGAGCACCAAATCAAAATATTATGAATAAATAACAAACTTTCCAACTGCAGAGGTTTCGAAGGGGGGCGGGATGGATTTTCTACCTATTTATTCCCCTAGTGGTGAGGAAAGGCAGGCCAAATCGATCCCTAATGTGTTTGTGAAAGCCTGAAAGGAAACATAAACCCCAATTCTTCTGGCTGTTTGGCGTCTTTGTAAACTCAGGGCCACTGGCCATACACAAGGGCCTGGGAATGGAGAGGGAACCCAGGCCTTTGTTGGGGCCGGTGCCATGGCGTTGCGTGTTGCATAGCTGAAGAATGTGACTGAGGATCTATTCTGCCTGTGGCTCACAGACCAAAGCCAAAGCTGTCTGGAACCCTGCAGGAAGTCAGGATTGGCTAGCCACCGCCCCTTCGACAGCCGCCACTAGTCCCCCAGAGAAATACCAAAGACGGCTGGTTTGGTATTTTATTTTCCTTGTGGTTGACGGAGGCCACAATTCTCATATGCTTGAGATATCATACTTGTTCCTGCCTCCGCCAGGAACTGGCTGGTGTCCCCGTCAGCAATTCCAATACTAAATTCCCATTGGCAGCAACATGTGACATTAACAGGGTTGGCTCTGAGTCAACTGAATGCTAAGAGAGACACAGCACGTGAAGAAGTTATGATTCTCTGAAAATCAGCTTCTTTTGGTGGTAGTGGAAAGGCAGACATTTTTTAAAGGTTGAGTTTCCAAAGGGGTTTCCCATATTTGGACCCAAAGTTAGACCAGTCCTGAGGAAGGCTGACAAGACTTGAGCACTTAGAACTTGTGGTGATAGGCAGATGCCGTTGCGGAAACACGGAGAAGCCAGCAACAAGGCTGATTTGGAAAATGCCTGCTCGTTTTGAGAACAGAGTCTCGAGTCTGGTCCAACCACAGGACCACCTCAACACACTGGTTTTAAGGGGCCCCTCCCAATTCACCCAGAAAAGCATCCCTTTCTTGGGAATCAGCAGGAGTGGGAGGAGACAAGTAAGGGTAATGGCGATGAGTCTGATCAAATATATTATATGCATGTATGAAAATATCATATGAAACCCATTATTATATATAATTAATGTATGCTCATAAAAAACAGTGTTGAAAAAGTATTCCGTTCTCACTAGGGAAAGTGATTACTTTTTCATTGTGTCTCCAATAAATAATCAGAAACCCACATCTTTAGCCTCCCAACCTGACTCAAGAGCTGAAGGCAGTTTCCCAACTTAACCCCAAGATGTGACTTTCAAAGGGATGAAACAAATCTTTGACTACTCAGTAACTGCACAGTCATTTACAAAGCAAAGAAAAATTCCAGAGAGAGAGAGAATATGAATATTTACAGCACAGGCATGTAATTGGGACTGAATTCTACAACCGTGGAGGAGATTAATTAAACCCTTGTGAAAAATCCATGAAAAAGAACAGGAGATTAACATGTCTATTACGTCTGGCCTTTTCTATCAGCTTCATTAGAAATAAAGGGTAGTGTCTCCATTAAAAATGATGCTGACATACAACTGCATATTACGTCACTCCAAGAGCATCATTTAAAATAGCTGCAGAAAAATCAATTCCAAAATCCGATCCATTTTCACTTGGGTTTAATTCCGTTTCTTCACAGATAGCACATGTAATTTTAAAAATACACTATAAGAAGCGCAGCAACAGTTGAAGGCTGAAGATTAATCAGGTCAGCCCGAGTATGGTTTTGATATACTGAGGATCTGGAGGGTCGCAGACAAGATGGGCAGGAATTTGGCCTTTGGTACAAGGCTGTGATTGGACCTTGGCAGTGGCTGCTGCTGGACAGGCTGCAATAACAGAACGTAAGGTGGAATTGTCCCTGCACTGCCCTCAGGGTGCCTGGGTAGAAAAGGAAGTAAAACTCACTGTCACCCAAAGCTTTTCGTATGGTATGCTTGCCTCAGAGAAAAGCCTATTATGTTCAAAAGCTAGGAAGCCCCACTGTCTTTCTTTAAGAACTAAGTTTAGCTACCTGTGAGACAGTACACCTGCAATTTCACCCATTCGGAGGCAGGGGCTAGGAGGGTGAGTTGGAGGCCAGTGTGGGCTACATGGTAAGAAAGAAGAAAAAACATCAACCAACCCAAAACCGCAATTTAAGAAGAAAAAGCAAATGAATCACAAACTCCTCAACTGGATATGGGGAGGGTATAATTGGGGTAGGGGAGGAAGAGGATGACCTTAGTGAGATAGGGCGATACCATAGTCTTTATTTCCATAGGCTATTTTTCATTTCTCCCCTGGTTTCATTCTGGGCACGCCACACCACTTGTGTTTATGTTTCCCCTTTCATGAGATTCTATTTTTCTGTATGTAAAAGATTTGTTTCCCAGGGTTCCCACAGCTTTGAGCTATCTAGGCCACAAGTATGCTTCAGAGTGTAATGTTTACATCTTTTTCTCCCAGTCTCTGTGTTTAAGAATTGGTGGGACCCAATTTATTGATGCACTTTCAACCAGACTTAATATGGCAATTCACTCTCGCTCAGTCTAAAATGTATCTTCTTACTCCAATTTCCTCTACTCCAAAAAAATTTAAACCTTCAACAAACTAAAGCAAAACTGAGCCAGCAAATTACATGCACGCTCCCATGATATGGAAGACTTAGCAAAAGCTTGCTTCCTCTAAAGACATTTCAGTGTGCAATTCTGCAAATGTGACTGGGGGGATGAGAATGAACTGGTACTCTTGAAGCATGTATGTACTGTTCCACCAATGCTGGCCTTTGTGACCTCAATAGCGGCCAGGGAGGTTTCAGGAATGGCGTGCACAATGGGCACTAATGTAGAAGGCTGCAGGCTCTTTAAATCAGGCTAATGTTTTTCCCCGAAATCATAACTGGCCTTCTCAGAACCTAGACGGTTTGCAGTGCTGTCTGGGTTCTAGTAATGGCTTCCTAATTGGCAGAAATCAACAGACTCAACATCCACTCTCATAAGAGGACTCTACCAGGGCTAAGTCCCTACAAAAACAAATCTTGTAATTTTCCACATCAGAGTTCTTCAGATCTGATGGTGAAATGGGCATCTGGTCAGTTTGCCAAAGATTTGGGTGACATGTAAAATATGTAAAAGACTATAGTGTTGGGGGGAGGTTGTGTGTAGGGGCAGGGGTTGTGCCAGAGGCTAACATCAGGATCCCTAAGAATGGTACTGTCACCTTAATTTTTATTTTTTGATAAAGGGTCTCTCACTGGCCTGGAGCACAGAACTTGTGCTAGGCTGATTGTCTCTACCTCCCAAGCCCTAGGATTACCAGTGCTCCACCACACCTAGCTTTTTTTCTGATTGTGGAGATCAAACATAGGCCCTTGTTCTAGCAAAACAAGCACTTTACCAACGGACCACCTGCCCAGCCCAAGAGAGAATCTTCAAAGCTCCTTTCATAGCTCTGTGAAGACTGTACATCAGATTGAACATGAACAGACCTAGGATGAGTGCTAAACCTGAGAATTTCACAGGAAATATCAAAAAGATACCTCCTGCTGCATTCAAAGCGGTGCATCTAACTGTCTTCTGCAATGCCACCAGTAGTTCAAGAGGACACTGACTGGCAGTGCTGATTTTACTACCTCCAAGTACTGAGCGCAGCACAGCCAGAACTCTGCCAAACATTTCCCATTAAAACGAAAGGAAAAATCTCAGAGCTGGCAATTACAACAGTCCTTGTGGCAAGAAGTAGAGTCATGGCTAGTAAAACAAATACATCAATGGCTCGCTCACCTATGAAATTGTTCCACTCAAAATTGAGGTCTCCTTGGTTGGCCAAACAGCCTCTCATGATGTTAGAGCAGTAGTTGTAACAGGGCTTCACAGACACCAGGCCCTGGCAGTGGGAACAGTAGATCATCTTCAGCAGCGCTTCCGTGCACTGGGCTGTGGGGTTCACCTAATGTGTGACAAGACACACAAAAAAAAAAGAAAGAAAGAAAGCCACAGTTGGGTTAAAGGAGACACAACTGACATTGGAGGATCATCCGGGAACTTCGGGATGAATTAAGAGTGTTCTCAATTAGGAGGCTGGACTCCCATGGAAGTGGATTAGAATAAGAATTGGACAAGTGGAAGACAGGTGCCAGAAAGCTGAGTTAGGGGTGGGGTGAGTGAGGTCAATGTAAGTTCTAGTCTTTCTTCGTTTAGCGCTGCTGATGGTAGACCTCAAGACCTTGCTGCAATCCCTGCTTTTCAGTACCAGACTGAGACATAGGTACAACTTGTATTCAAATACTGAGTCCAAGACTGCCCTTTGCACGTTAACCTCCAAGTATCTTTCCCAAGGATACTTCATATATACTTTGTTCAACATCGAAAAGCCATTCAGAAGGTGAAGATCATGCATTCTATAGGGCAAGATGAGTAACTTTAAACACTGCAGGGTTTCAAGTATGGAGTGCTCTTGTGACATATAATCAAAGTGATGAGGCTTCTGCTAAGTTATGAGAAAGTTATTAGATTTCAGTGGAGAAGTAAATGAAGATCATCTCAGGGACGTCAATGGAATGGTGCGCCTGTATTTTCTTAGGAGAAGGTGGAGGAATCTAGGACAGTAATGTGGCATAGGAGTGTGTGGATGTGGTCAGAATTTAGAAGGGCTGGACACTGAGCAGAAACCGGGAGACCCTATAGGAGTCAAACAGCAAAGATAAAATCACTACTCAAATCAGACTAGGCTAGCCACCCTCTAAGATAAACAGCATTTACTGTCATCTTTCTTGTTGGGTCGGATGAAACTGTTTAGGACCATGAAAGAGCCAATTCCATCCCATTCTTCATTTCCATCAATGGTAAGAAAGGATCCCAGCTAGGTGTCATATGCTGGCGGCTAACTCCAAGTTCCTGGCTTACTCTCTCTGCCCTCTTCTCTTTTGGAGCCTTTATCAGAGGATTGGTGCATTCTTCACTCTCATCAGCAACTAGTTCCTCAAGCATAGGCTTTTAGAAGCAGATACTACAGCAGGGAGCAAATACTGGGATGCAGGGTGGCTGGCAATGGATGTCACCTGCTCTGGTGTGTTGCTTTGGATATCACTTATCAACAGAGCCCTTAGGAACAGGAACAGGATGGTGCTGTCTATCTGGTGCATGTGGACACACACACACACACACACACACACACACACATACACACACACCCTTCTCTGGCTTATTCCCAACAGAATGCCAGCGTAAAAGGGGAAAAGCGTGCAACAACAAGATGGTAATTGTATACACTAAAGTCAACATTCTCTACAAAGAGTTAGGACTTTTCCACAGTTTTAACCATTCCCAAATGTTTTCCTAAGCATTAAATTAGTCTCTTTAACTGTGTATTAATGTACAGTAAGTTCTGGCTAACCAATATCCTTAAGGAATGGCCTCTCTGGATAACTAGATTTTCTGGATAGCTAAAAGTTCATTCCTTTGGAGTCACATTGTTGGGACTTTGATACTCATTCACCTCTCGTTTTACAGATGAACAAGCAGCCTCAAAGAGGAAGGGAGCCCAAGTCACAGGACCAAAGAAGTCAGCACTGGAAGGAGCCTAGCCCAACACCAGCGGTGCTGCTCTCACATTGGAGAGATAAGCAAACTATAGGCAGAGATTAAACAACCTGCTGACAGCCACCTTGCTGCATTTGATTCCAGTACTGCACCTTATCAGACACCGTGTCCCTAGGATTTCCCAGATGTGTCACCGCTTCCTGTCATCCTAAACAGAAGATAGGCAATTCTATTCTTAGGCCATGCTGATTTTCTTCTTTGTTTTTAGTTCCAGTCCACATTAGAGAGGCCGCTAAATGGCCGGATCTTAGGAGATACACAGGTTATGTAAATGACTTATAAAAAACCCCACAATACAGCTAGATGTGTTAGAGCACGCCTCAAATCACAGACGTAGGACACGGAGGCAGAAGGACAGCAAGTAAGTCAGCCCGGAAAAAAGGGTGAGGTCCTGCTAATGAGAGAGGAGGAATGAAAGAAGGCGGAGAGGAGAGAGAGGCAGGTGGAGGGGAAGGAAAGGAGAATTCCAGAAGAGTACTTGGTATGTTGAACATTATTCTTCAGAGCTAGCGGTGTCCTGGTGGAGTAAGTGTAGAAAGCTAAACTGTCAATGTGGATACTCAGCATTTAACATGTGTCTGGGATCATGACGTTAGTTTGCTGTATTAGAATATGAAACCTGCTCTACAGAAAACAAAGGAAAATCCCAAGGTAGAACAGACCTTTGGGAAGTAAACAAAATATTCAGGTAAAGATACAGTGCATAAAGTCATATTTTGTATTAGGATTAAAGCTGTGTGCCACCACAGCCAGCCCTGGGACCTTTTTGAAAAGATAAAATCCAATCCACTTACATTGTATTCTCTGGTGACCATCGGAGTCAACTGCTGCCTTCAATCTCTCTACAACTTACATACTGAAGTAGATTTACTTTAGAAGTTCCAAAACATGTAGCAGCTCATGCCACATGGGGAATAATTAAAAGAGCAATATACTCCAAGGTCTTTAATCTCCAGTTATGTATTTATCCTCTATGGTACAGCATACCACTTAAAATGTTCAATCCAATGGTCATTTTGGTGCATATGTCTTGACTAAGAGCTGTTGTTTTTCTTTTATTCAGTTGGGTCTGCTGAATCCAGATGTTAATCACTCCCAGAATACTTAGTGCTGAGATAAGAATGGGGCGGAGCTTTATGATTGTATTTCAAAAAAGGTCACAAGTGCCGGGTGGTCGTGGCGCCTTTAATCCCAGCACTCGGGAGGCAGAGGCAGATGGATCTCTGTGAGTTCGAGACCAGCCTGGTCTATAAGAGCTAGTTCCAGGACAGGCTCCCAAACCACAGAGAAACCCTGTCTCGAAAAACCAAAAAAAAAAAAAGTCACAAGTTTTAGACTTATCTTAGGAATATAGTTATTTCTCAAAAGTTTATGAAGACTGAAGAGGAAAACTATATGTACCCTCCCTTTCCACCCCACCTTTGAACAAAAAGAATGATTTAAAGCACTCAGAGAGAACACACTTATTTAGCTTTTGCAGTTTTGCGTGTGTGTGTAAAATAGAGTGAGTGCTTGTCCGGGTCTGAACAATGAGTTTGACTAGTGGAAAATGGTTGAAGAGGCATTGAAGGAAGAGTTTGTGTGAGAGAGAAAGAGAATGAGAACGAATGTAGTATGTGTGCACATGCAATCACACATGTGGAAGCCAGAAATCAACCTTGACTTCTTCAGGAACTACCCACCTCATTTATTGATGTTATTGTATTGTTAAGATACCAGGCTCCCACCGGCCTGCAGTTCACTAACTGGCTAGGCTGGCAGGCCATCAATCTCCAGGAATGCATATGTCTCCCTATCCCCAGAGCTGGGGTTCTAAGCCTATATTGCCACATCTTGTTATATATATATAAATAATAAGTTATTTATTTATTTATTTATTTATTTTGGTTTGGTTTTTCGAGACAGGGTTTCTCTGTATTTTTGGACCCTGTCTTGAACTAGCTCTTGTAGATCAGGCTGGTCTCGAACTCACAGAGATCCGCCTGTCTCTGCCTCCCAAGTGCTGGGATTAAAGGCGTGCGCCACCATCTCCCGGCTATACCTTGCATTTTTAATTTGGGTTTATCAAACTCAGATCATCAGGCTTATAAGACTAGGATAAGCACATATTAAGTGATTTATCTCTCTAGCTAAAGAGGGTCTTGAAATCTAGATTGAAGAAAAAAATATTTTGTTTCATGACCAATTTAACCACACATGACTTTTGCTGGGTTTTATTGATTCATAGGATTCATTTATGGAATACTTAAGGTATGCCAGGTTCTTATTTAAGGGCCTTACGACATGTAGTAACTCATTTAACCCTCAAAACAATTGTGTGAGGCAAGCACTAATAGCTGATCTCAGAGGTGAAGTAGAAGGGGGCCAAGAAATATTCAGGGATTCACGCAAGGTCTTCAGGTCAGAGCTGAAAGCTGAGCTTTGGACCCAGGTAGTCTGGTTTTAGAGCACACGTAGGTAACTTCGTTGATGTCTAATGTTCTTTTCAGTGATGAAGATCAAATCTAGGTCTCACACGTGCCAGGAAAGTGCTATGCCCCAGGTGCTTTAGTGAATATCTATCTACATGGCTTCTTTGGAATCATAGCCTATAGGAAACTAGAGGGCAACACAGGGGCTCCTAGACCTCACACACTATCTGCACACTCAGTAAACACACTGCAGGGCTCGATACTTTCTAACTATAAGGTGCAGTATTTCATGTTTACTGGCGAAATGAATCAGGTTTTACATAGGAGGGCAATTTAGGACACGACTACATGGAGCAATGCATACTAGATACTTGGAGGAGAGGACATATTGTTTAATGAAATAATAATGCCTTACTGAGTGCCAGCACCATGCCTTAAAACTGTTCAGTTGCTAGAGGGAGGAGAAAGGAGATATAATTACAGGGTATTACTCACCAGCCCTGCTCACAAAGAGTTCAAAGGCTCAAGAAAACACCAATGGACATGGTCAAGAGGACTTCCCTTGACTGGGAGGTGCAGCTGAGTGATAGAACACTTGCCTAGCACGCACAGGCTCTGGGTTTCATCCCTAGTACCACAGAAGCCCCTCCTTTAACCAAACAAATTGGGCAAACAACTCACATTTCACCCAAGTTCTGAAATTTTCAAAGAACTGCAGCTAAATGCAGCAGAGATAATGAATTCCTAGAGAAATGAACAGACAGGCCTTAGAGAAGGTAGAAGGGGCTGACATTATTTATGGAGGGGTGAGAACATGTGTCCACTTTCGCTTCTGGACTGAATATTTCTGTATTAACTCAAACACCAAAATCAATTTGAACAATTGACCCATAATCCCAATACACGAATATCCAATTTCTAAGACTCTTAAAATCCT